TGAGCTGATAGCGCCTCTATATGGCCTCAAGCAGGCAGGATACGACTGGCAGACCAAGGCAAAGAAGGAACTGAAGACTGAAGGCTTCAAGCCGCTGGTGAGCGATTCAGCTATCTATTTCAACAAGAACACGAAGATGATCGTGGCTTCGTTTGTTAACGACTTCCTGATCGCTCTACGGCCAGACCAGCAAGCACTGGGCGAACAGCTTATCGAGAGGCTGTCCGAGAGGCTCGAAGTCACTGATCTAGGCCTAGCTGAATGGTTTGTAGGCGTGAAGATCAACCAACAGCCCAACGGCGATGTGACCATCTGCCAGAACGCGTATATCGCCAGAATGCTTGCTGAACGAGGCCAGGGCGAATGCAAGCCAGCGATCACCCCTGTGGCCATAGGCGCTATGGCTGAGGCCGTACGCAACACCAAGGAGGCCTCGACTGAGGACCGTAGGCGCTACCAACAGATCGTCGGGTCGGTTATCTACCCGTCGTGCATCACGAGGATTGACACTGCTTTTGCAGCGAGTGTATGGGCCAGGTTTATATCAAACCCCTCGCAGGCCCACGAGAAGGCTGTGAAGAGGATTCTGCACTACTACCAAGGAACCAAGAACCGTGGCATCCGGTACAAGGCCGGCTGCTTGACCCTTGAAGGCTATTGCGACGCCTCACACAACGACGATCGAGATGCCAGCAAGTCCACGATCGCGTTCGTCTTCACCCTGGCAGGAGGACCTATCTCGTAGGCCTCCAAGCTGACGACCTCGATCCCTCAATCAACGGCCGAATCTGAATACTACGCCGCGAACGCTGCTACACGGGAAGCAGCGTGGCTCCGAGAGTTCCTCATCGAAATAGATCAAGGCGACCTGGTGGACCAAGCGATCCCAATCTATACGGATAACCAGGCCACCCTCAAGATCATCGAGAAGTCGGAAACTACAAATAGAACCAAGCACATCAGGGCACGCTACCACTACGTTCGTGAAGAGGTGGCACAAGGGAACGTGAAGTTCCACTATGTGCCCTCTGAGGAGAACATCGCGGATGCCCTCACCAAGCCGCTGGAGCCCGGCCAATACCAGAGGCTCCTCAAAATGGCTGGGATGGAGGACCTTGAAGAGAACGGCAGCCAGCATCACGACGATGCTGGCTGGGAGGGAGTGTCGGAATAAAGGCATTGGTCTCATGTGGGTGAAAGGGCCTTTCAGGCCCCTGACACCAGGGCCCTTTCACTAGGTTTCAGGCTAGCCGGCCCTTTGTTGTACTTTTCCTATAGAAACGGGTGCACCAGTACCTCTGGCCCCAGGATAGTTAGAAGGATTAGTGCAAGAAATCGATGACCTGGCTTTTCACCCATCCTTCACCCCGATGAGTTCACTGCCCCACATTTGACACTATCTAACACAAGTCTCATATCTGAGCACAATAACCTTTACCGGTCCGTATATGCTAAAGTGGTCTAGAACGCTACGCACTTGCACCACTTCACAGTCCAAACCGGTCAATCTACTACACAAGTCGTGCGTTAGCTTCACATGTCTTGCTGATAGTAGTCCTGTTGTGTGGCCCCCCTCGACACATGAATGTATGGGAATGTGTGTGGCATGGTTGCTCGTCCTGTCTCGGGTGAGAAGCTTTGCCCGAGTTGTGACATCTTGCTTGGCGTCCCAATGGACCATGGACCAGGACGTCGCCTCGATGGCACTCTGGGAATGCCGAGGACCGAGCATTTTGCGTGTGGTAGGTGACCAGTCACTTGGTTGGAGATATCTTTGGAGATTTCAGCCCGGCATGTGAAGGAAGTATTTGCTGGTTTCTGAAGTTGGCTTTGGTACTGGCGTCGAAGCAAAACCTTCCTTTTAAGTTTTGGACAATTTACACTTTGCCCTCCGTCCCTTTTGAGCCACTACTCGTCGTTAAATGTTTCAGAGGCCTTGAAGAGATAATGTACCACGGATAGATCCAGTTCCGCATGCTTGGGTACCCGAGATCGACTACATCGCCAGTGTGAAGATACATTAACGTTTCCAAATCACCCCTTCTTCCTATTTGCGTCAAGTCCTGTCCGCTCCACAGCGAGGAAAGTGGCAATTCGCACTGCCCTTTACAGTGAGGCTGATCGACGTAGTATAGTGAAGGATTGCATGACTGCCTGCTTTCTGTGCGAGGGGGTCCATGCCCGTGATGTCGGACCTCGAACTGGTAATGCCATTGGCCCGTCATCTTGCGAGCGCCCGGAAAGGCTGCGTACCACATTTGACGCGAACTTGTCTTGTTCAGCGGGTTCATCTGCCGAGATACCACATCTCAAAGGGGGAAAAGGAAAGAAGAAAAAAGAAAAGGCAACGTGGCAAGTGGCATTAAGCAGATCGTATTCCTGCAAGACGAAGAGAGCTTCCTAAAGAGGGAAAGAACACATCCCATTCAGACGAGGATACTCTACACGCCGCAGCAAGGGAAACTGTGCTCACGGCCTCAACAGACAGTAGCCAGTCTATCCTAATTGTCAGAAAGGCCAGTCTCAGCGTTTCCACAACTAACCTGTCTGTTGAATATGTGATTGCATATGAATGAGTCTTGAGAGTACGGGGGAGCTATTCCGGTAAATAGTCAACGCAATTTCGACCTTAATAGCCCCTAACAACTATAGATGCGTAAAATAATTAAGCTATGGATGAGTCTTTACTTTGCTGTCTTATATACGGCGTGTCATTCATATTCGTAAATTCGTGCTGCACCTGGGTGACCGGTATCAATAGTGATTACTTGAGTATGCAGTCTTGCTGATATCGAAATGTCTCATGGACGCCTTTTGGTGACTGTCTGTAGAGCCGGTTGTATCATCGTGGCTTGATTGTTCGTTTCTTAGTTGATTACCAGAGCTCGTTAGGGACGATTCACTACTCATGAGATAGAATAGTTTATGCTGCCTCTCATATCGCAAAAGCAATATCTGCACACTAGGTGCTGGACTAGGGCCAAATATTCTCTCGTAAATATATAAAACCCTGTAATCTTGAAATATTGTCTTTTCCAAATGAACCCAACTGAGACGGTTGAATCGATACGATAGTCGATGCTGAGATTGCCTAGTTGTCCGGGTGCGCAGAGATTCAGCTGCCATAGCTTTGCTTCGGCGCAAGTTGCTGAGCAGTAGTAAATACAAGTCCACAGCCGTTGAAGAGACCAATTGAGATCGATGTAGAACTACTCGAATTGTACTCAGAACTGCAATGCTATCTGTCCGTGACGAATATGTCTGCAGGCCAGAAATTTTTTATTTTTGTTGATGAAATCCTACGACAGCATAATCGATCGAGGCTCAGACCAAGTGCATGACACCACCCACCGGCCCCCCTCCTCCCCTTTCCGCAAAGATAGCTGTACCCAAGGTGGGCAGAATTTGGATAGTTCGTCACCTCTACGCTTTCGCCACCGTGGGTGCTCAACCCGGTCCACGCCGCGTCGGACTTGGCGTTAACGTCCTAAGATCAAGCCATGTCGGAGCGCCCGTGTGTAACGTATCACTGCAGTGGTTGCCAACGGTGACTCGAGAATCCTAGTCATCGGCAGGCGGAGCCTAGATGTGTGGGACTGGGTAGAACTGGTGCTTGGTGTCTCGAGTGAGACCTAGTTTGCAAAGCCTCTGTCTATTTCATGCCGTTCACGAACTCAGCCCATCAGTCCAGGCATCTCGAGCGCCTGGTCATATTTTGCTCGTGCAGACAATGACAGGATCATACCTCTATAGATTCGGGTCTCCTAGACTAATATACCCTGCCGTCTGTACATGAGTAAGGAATGGTTCATTCTAATTATGTTGTCATTGCATGTTCTGTTGGGAGCACCACGACAAACCAAATGGTGACTCTTGCGGAGTATGAAGTTCTTGCGAGAGCGTTCCTTGATCTGCTTCTTCCAGGTACACACCTTTTTTGAAAGGCCTATGGTGGATACAGATTGTAATGACAGTCACCCAGCATGCCCCCAATAAGCACTTATTGCAAGTTGTACCCTCTCTGGCCATCTTTGACCATGCTTCATATGCAAACAAGTAGATTACTGTTTGTTATGCAGGGGAAGATACATTTGCCCACTCCGTTATCAGATTATTCAAACATTCAAATAAGATAAATACGATACGCATACCTCGTACTGAAAACCAGTCGGTCTTAATCCTCAAGCTGTCCGCCCTATACCTCAACGCAAGTCAAAGCCGGCAACCACAGCGTTACTTGCCACATCTGGATCACAAACAACTACTATTCATTCGGCAAACTATCTTCTGATATCTCAGAGAATCGCATGAAATATTCAATAAGAATATGAAGACTTCGATGTACATAGTGTTGATTTCAAGAGGCCTGCCTGAAAAGGGCATATCACGACGACAAGGTCGACAATTTAGTAAGCAGTCCCACTTTATTCAATGTCCCTATTCCGCGCAGCAAAGAACAAGTTCTCTATCAAGACTCTTGATATTCCGTCGGGTTTATACCAGCAGATTGTGTTCTGGAGTTGTGTGCAAGGTACGTAAAGCGAGGTGTTATGTATGCGCTGTGGATATGCATTAGTTTTCGAGTCAATCCTGCACAGCAGTCTGGTCTCCGCATGTCGAAGGTTTGACTTCCAGCACAGCATACGGTGATAAACGCTTCCCAGAATGTTGGTTACGAAAGTTCATGAATTGCTCACTAGAAATAATGACGTCAAACTCGACTACTTTTCCATTCTTTGTATGAAATTCCATGCTCAATCAGCGTCTCTCCGTTCCAGGAGCCCTTGGTTTTCTTTTGGTAACCGCAAGTATGCATCCACGCCTCATTCGCCGTGCCAATGACCGGTTCCCAGCAGAACAGGAGAACGCCTTGCCTTGTCATTAAGAGAGAGTTCCATGATTATGTTTACAGGTGAAAAGCAGTAAGAGGAAAATCCGACGCAACAGAATGCCATATCAGCGTCCAGAGAACGTTCGCATCGAATGACGGGATCAGAAGCTCAAGCTTTCTCTTTTCCCTTGCCCTTGCCCTTTCCCTTGACTGGCGGAGTGGTATCGCCTGCGGCCTCCTCGGTGGACAGCGCAGCCACGCGATTGGCGAGAGAGTCCAGAGGATCAGTCATATGCTCAGCAGGCGCGGCGACCGATGGGTCTCTGGTACGCGAACCCTCTCCCGGGCCAGTGGCCTCGGAGCTGGCGTAGTCGGATGGCTCGCCCGTGGAGGTCTCCTTGAAGAAGTAGGATCCGTCTGGCAGCATGCCACCACCTGGGAAGATCGACTCGCCTGGGGATGGGCGTGGTGAGAGGCTCTGCGGAGAGGTGGGCACAGAAAAGGAGCGGAAGGGGGGAGGGGGCAGGAATGGGTACGGCTGGTCGGAGATGTGGGCCCACCAGGCAGCGCTGCCGGCGGGCGCGGTGGCATCGGGAACGACAGGACCGCTGGAAGTTGCTGAACCTGTGCCAAACGAGCCCTCGAGGCTGGCAGACTGCTTCTTGATGGTAGAAGGTCCAGCAGAGGTGGAGGGGCTGGAGACATTGGTCGTCGAGGGGGTATCAGCCTTGTCCTTCTCCTTGGTTTCTGCAGCAGCCTGCTCGGGGGACTTTCTCTTGTTCTTGCCCTTCTTGTTGGAGGACGGGGGTGTAGGCTCGACGAGACCAGTGGGGTAATTCTTGCCCTTCTTGCGAGGAGGCTGAGGAGTGGGCTCGACTAGACCGGTGGGGTACTTCTTGCCGCGAGAACGACCAGCACTGCCAGAGCCAGACGCTGCGCCAGAGCTAGAAGCAATGGTACCATCGGGGCGCTTGATAGGGATAGCTTTGGACACCTTGCGGCCAACGGTAGTTGGGGGCGGCGACAGAGGAGGTGGGGCAGGCAAGTTCTCGAGCTCTCGCTCGGGGAAAATCAGGTCGTCGGAGGGCTGCCAGCCATCACCGCGGTACTTGGTCCAGAGGACAGACATGTGCTCGAAACCAGCCATGATGACATGATTACGTTGACAGATGCCTGCCTGGGAAAGCCACTCTGTGGGAAAAGGGAGAGTTTTCTATCAGCATATTGTCTTTGTAAAAGACGAACAACGCAAAGTTTGGTCATTCGAAAGTAAAGGAAACTTACTGTGATCAGCAACCACACGCACGCGCATCATTCCCCAGAACTGCTCGTACTTGCCCCGCCAGCCTGGGTTCTGCAGGATCAGCGGGAAGCAGACGGCCATCAGCTTGCCCATGACGATGCGCAGGGCACGGATGCGCCACTGGTCGGGCTCGCTGTACGTCATGAGCATGGCACGACGGAGGCAGAACTCGAACTGGTCGAGGTTCATGTAGCGGAGCATGGGCGCGACCTTGCGGAGCTCCTCAGTGGCCGCGTCGATCTGGGTCAAGGTGTGGTCCATCATGGGACGGCAGAGGCAAGAGGTTCCAGCCAGGAAGTTGGCGACGGCGTGCACGATGGGCATCGTGTTCATCGGATTCTTGGGGTCGAAGTCGCCTCCCTCGTAATCTGTTACAGAAATCGTTCATCAGCTCGCCTGCGCGCCGAAAAGGAAGATGATGGCCTTCTAATGCTGCACAACTTACCCTCGATGTACATGTAGTGGAGGACCGCACCAAGGGATCCAGCATCCCAGTTATCGAGGTTCCACTCGACGGGTTTTCCCTGAAATAGAGGCATCAGTATCAGAAGGGTGGCTCTCGTGGGTTGCTCTTTGTTGGAAGTGGAAATGAAGACATGAAATATCATGAGGACAGCCGACTTACATCCTCTGCCTCGGGGGGCAGGTACTTTTCCATGTACTCCGACTTCTCCACGAGGATGTGTCGGTGCACCTCCCAGCGCAGGCCCTTGCATCGGATGATGATGTCGGCCCCGTCTGGCTTGTCCCACAGGCTGTGAGAGAAAGTCAACGCGTCAGCAAACATTTCCCAAACATGTAAACATTACCACGCGTAAGTCGTCGGGAAATTCGATCTGGGTGCAAATTGGGCATTCGACAATTGAGTTGAACGAGATGTGAACGCCCAAGATGGCGAGGCATGAGGGAAAGCAGCCAGCAAGAGCTGGCCAGAGGGAAGTCTGCCATGAGGCGCGCACTCCTCAGGGAAAGGTTTTTCATGTTTCTTGTCTTCCTTGTTTCTGTGCTTTGCTTGTGTATTGGGTAGGACGATGGAGGATGGAGATGGGAAGAAATGAGGTATTCTAGGGCAGCCACTCTTGATGAGACGGTCACTTACGCGGCGTAGGGCGCGCCTGAGGCCGCTCTGGCCCGCGTAGCAGGCAGATTGGCCTCGAAGGCGGCGGGCTCAGGAAGGTTTGGAGAGACTCGAAGGTCCTCCTTCTCTCCAGCGCGAAGGAACGACATCTTCTCTTTGTTGTTGTTGTTGTTGTTGTTGTTGTTGTTGTCGTCGTCGGCGGCGGCGGCGGAGGAAGTTGGAAGGCCGTCTTTGTTGTTTAGGAAAGAGAAAAAGTTAGCGAAGGTTCCAACGGTCTTGTGGCAATTTACAGAGAATTGCAGACAATACTAAGCGGGGCCTTGCTTGTGGGGGAGGAGGCCGACATTCGACATACCCTCGGTGTCTGTACCCTTCTTGGTCACAGCTTTGTGACCAGGCTGGGCCTTACCAGCACCCAGCGACTCCAAAGGCGGGAATGCCTTGAGGTCACCAGCAACAGGGGGAGGGGAAGGGGCCTGCTGGTTCAGTGGTGTGGGTGTCGTCGACTCGCCACCACCTGCTGCTTGGTTGGCCTTTGACGACGACGACGAGGCCTGGGGTGGGCGCCTGGCCCCCTTTAACATGGCCGAGTATGACCACTTGGGAGCCATGGTGATTGATTGGCCTTGACGAAAACGAAACGAACAATGGAGACAAGGAAGAAATGCAGCTGAGACAGCTGAGGATGGTCTTGAATGTGGTGTAAGGAAGTTTTGTGGCTAGGTGGATCAGATTTGGCGATGTGGGCAGAACTTTGGAACTGAAAATCAACCTTGAAAGACAGACAGACCTATGTTTACTTCACACTCAAACGCGTATCTCGATCTTGGAAAGATAACAATGCTGCACAGTTTCCTTGCAGTGCAGCTGCCCTGAAGCTGCAGCAAGTGACAGCAACTATGGCTGTACCTCTACTGTGAATCTTTATGCTAGCCCAGCTGCTCATCTATACTCTTGTATGGAACTTTGACAGCTTCTGAAATGTGTGCCAGTGTTTTGTACTTATTTAGCATTACTGTTGCATATCTCGAGTGTTGGAGAATGCCAACTGGCAAGTTGCAACCTACTCCAAACCCATATTCATCTCATTTCTAGCAATTATACCACTCTCCTCTTTTATGTACCCTCACATGCTCTTTTGGCAGATGAAAACACGTTCGTGAGCCATTTCAGGCATCATATACCAATTCTGCCAAGTTCTTAACAAAAGATGGCAATTGTCACCTTTGCATGTCTTTCAAGGAGCAAACTTTCAACAGATTGGGAACGAAGAGGGTCGGCCGATGAGTGGAAACATTGAGCAAAAACCATCATGATTTCCAGGTTTATATAATCGATATGTTTTCAGCGCAGAATTGCCCTTTGGAGATTCGGCGACTTCCTATTTCGAATCCATGCTGTCTCGATTGGGAGTGTGGCAGCGGCCCTATAATTTAGCCGCCATCGTTTGCCTACTTCTCAAGTACTTTCTTCACGGCGCAATCGGTGGAGGAGCCGCGAGAAGGAGAGTCATAGTCGAGAGTCTGTGCAGCAGCCCGACAGCGAGAAGCTGATGCCTGGCTAGCCATAGAATATGCAGAGTAGTAGAGGCACTCCTATCATGCGAAGGGGAAAAGGCTCGTATTGCAATGCGCTGAGGAAAGAAGAGAAAGGAACAGAACAGCCACGAGGCCGAACTATTTGAGACTATCTACAGGACTGGCTGTTGGCTGGCTTGCAGGGACGTCCGGTACCACTTCTGGCAGGAAGACCATATTTGTCTCTACCTGCACGCAGCCTGCCGCCAGCTCCGTGACGCCCTGGCTACCGCCCGTCAGGAGCCTCTCGCTGCCCAGCCGCCGGGGCCTCCAGTTTTCAAAAGGTGTTCTACTCATAGCTGGGGCTTTGTATTCCTGGCAGGCAAGGTTGTTGAACAACGCAGATGTGGGTGCACACCACGATGCCTGCCTGAAGCCAGCCCGACGAGCGAGTTCAACAGCACAGCATGTGTGGAATTCGAAGCAGGGGGAAGGACCCCGTCGCCAACCCCATCATCAGCACCGCCAGCTCCACTCTCGGCCACACTAGGCTGACTCGAGTTATTCAGGAAGCGATCAAGTGCATGCAAGGCAAGTACGGCCAAGTGAGTTACTGGCCCTTGCACAATCAGACTATCAATGTGATTTACTAGGCTGAGTTATCAAAGATTGCTCTATATCGCCCAGAATGATTTCTGAATAGCTTCAGCACCGACTACAACATGTACACGTGAGGATATTTATATCTGCATAGCACCGTCTTGGACACAACCCTCCCAGCAAAGTGATTTGCTTGGTACGCATCGGTCATCCACACAGCATCCACAAGCTCTTCACAAGGACACAACGACCTTGGCAGCACTGACCCCGCTCTTATTCAGATCCAGCGCGCCCTGCAGATAATACAACCCCCTTCCCACGACCGTACTCTGCGGCGCCGCCTTCAGCACCCCAGCCTCCAGCGCTGCAGGCACATACTCACCCCAGATGCGCCTAGCCACGCCCGGTTCCGACGCAACAATCTGCGCGCTCGAGATCGACACAACCTCCACGTCCTTTCCGAGATCGCCCTCGGGCACCCCACCCACAGCCGCGACCCGGCCCCCGCCCAGGGCCGCCACGACCGCCGCAGTCTGTCGCACGGTCGTCGCCGTCCCGATGGCCTCGTACGCGCCCACGAGCACCGCGCCCGACCGGGCCAGCACGGCGGCCAGGATGGCCACGACGTCGGGATTGTGGTAGTCGAGCACGTACTGGGCGCCCAGGCCCTTGCAGTAGCTGTAGTTGGCCGGGCTGGCGGTCGTGACCACCGTGTACCCCGCCGCGGCGGCAAGCTGGATGACCGAGGACCCGACGGACGAGGAGCCGCCCCAGATCAGCAGCGCCTCCTGGGTCTTACTGGCGGGCGGCGGCGACGACGACGACGACGACGACGAAGACGGAAGCTCTGGTGCTCGCAGGCCGAGTGTGTTTTGAAGGTACAGTCCTGCAGCAGCAGTGGAGATACTGAGCGGGAGGACGACTGCGCTCTCGTAGTCTATGTTGTCCGGTATCTTGGAGGCCACGATGGCCTTGAGCTTGACATATAGCTGGAACCCGCTCTTCTCCGTATCTCCCGAGCCTAGCCCTAAAGCGTAGGCGAGCACCCGGTCGCCCTTTTTGAATTGGCTCACACTGGAGCCGACGTAGAGAACCTCGCCTGCGACGTCCTCGCCGAGAATGGCTGGGTACTTGATGTTGAAGCGGTTGTTACCAGGAGGGAAGGACTGGATCTTCCAATCGACGGGGCTGTGGCATGATCAGCCTTGGATTTGTGCCTTTGAGAGCCTCAATTGTGTTTGTCTCTCAAGGAAAGAAAGATAAGAAAAGGCGGGGTTGGTGTATAATTACTTGATCGCAACCGCTTTGTTCTTGATGATAATCTCGTCATCTGCCAGGCCGTCTACAGAAGGGAAGGGGGCTGTGGCCACTTCCAGAGCCGCTTGGGGCGCAGGCAGATAAGAGGCATAATTTACGTATTTCATGGTGACAGTCTGGTCTTCTGAGAGGAGGGTGATGGGCAAGTGGGTTAAGTGGATTGAGAGCGTTGCTACAAAAACGTTGGTGACATCGCAGGAATGAGGTTGAGAATCGAACAATTAATGTTATTCGCTTACAAATCCCTGGCGAGGGTCAACCCCAGGGATGTACCCAAATCACGTCATGAGCTTGAAAAGTCCGGTGGGGTTTACCAGAAGAGAGAGAGAGGATAGGTTGCATTTCCCATGCGTGGCCATGTAGTTGTATTTGCAGCAAGAGGTATACATACATTCAAACAAGAAGAAAATGAGATCATAGTGATATCAACTCCAACAACACCCGACCCTCGCTCAAGTAACGCTCGTATCGTATTCCGTGTCGTGCGTGTGGCACAACCTGTTCGCATATCTCCAAAGCTGATGGAAAAATTTCCGGCAGTACAGATAAAACCCCCCTCCTCTCTATCTAATTCTGGTAATGAATCGAGAGAATTTGCATGAGAAATCAGAATGCCTTCGAAATCAATTTCGCAATACATCCTAGCACTGCTGTTGTTTGAACGTTTCGACCAAGAAGAAAGCATCCACTATGTTCCATCAAATCATAAAATATGTCGTTCGTCATCTGACATCTCGGGCTTCTAAAATTGGAAAATATCTGGGCCAGGGAAGTCGCCCATCATCTGACTGAATAGCGGGTCGTTTGTCATAATCGAGAGGCCGGTGAGGTCCTGCATCGCGCCGGCGCCGGAATCATTGAGTCCTTGCAGCGTGGTATCCCACGCTTGCGCAAAGCCGTCGCCCAAGTTGCTGTAGTCCAGATCCTGCCCAAAGCCGACCCAGGGTGCGGGATGGCCTGGCATCTGGCCGTGCTGGTAGGGGTTGGGCGGTGGTGGCATATTGCCATCGCCATTGGGCTTGTTTTGGCCGCTACTGCTGTTCCCACCATCTGGCGTGAACGAGCCCATCTGCCCGTACCACGCATTGGCGGCCATGTTCCCGTTCCCAACACCGCCGTGAGATGCCTGAGCATTGTTTGCTGCTGCTGTTGCTGCTGCTGCTGCTGCTGCAGCTGCGGCGGCGGCGGCGGCGGCGTGGTTGGTCGTGGCCGCCTCGGAGAGGAGTTGTAGCGGGTTATTGCTCGCCTGCGCTGAGTAATTAGGGGTGGTTGCGCTGGTGGGCGTGCGCTTATCGGAGGCGGCACGCGTTGCGTCCGGCGTCGCGAATGGTGACGTGCCCTCGGCTGCATTCGCGGCATCAGCAATCCGCGCCGACTGGTTGAGCTCGCCTTTGCTGATCTTGTGAAACCAGGACCGAATCATCACCAGCACCACAAGGAACTTGGCAGCCGGTCGCGACTTGTCATCAGCCCCGACCTCGCGGAACTTCTCCAGGAGGGTGTCCAGGTGCTGGTCGACCTTCATGCTGTCCTTGTCGATGATCTTGCCCAGCTCCGAGTTGGGGGCGCAGGCGGCGAAGTAGATCCTGATGAGCACTACAGTCGCGTACGCTACTCTGACAAAATTAAAGACGGGCAAACAACGAATGCTGCTGGCATCCATGGAGAAGAAGGTTTCAAAAATGCCGTCAATCGCTGTGAGACAGGAGGCTAATGCGTTGGTGTAGGCGGGTGTCAGTGTTGCGGTGCTAATGAGGCTGTCGCGGAGTGTCTCTGCCGCGAAAGGGGCCTTGAAAGCATCGGCAGGCTCGTTCTGCAGTGCTAGCTCGTGCATGTAGAGATTGATGGTATGAAAGCTGAACTTCAATGACGCTTCGTGGCAGGGCAGGATCAGTCAGTACATGTGCTTGTGATGAAAGAGGTGGGTGGATGGTTTTTCTTGCTTACGTTGCATGAGCTCTCGAGTGACCTCCTGCCTGTGCTTCTCCAGCTCTCGTTCAAAACCCCTGACCTTATGCTGGGTCATGTAGTCGGAAAGATTCACAGCAACAGCAGAGTCATCCATGCAGAACTGAAAACCAATCTCCTCGGCCAGCTGGTGCGTACGCACAAGATGACAGAGGTATTTGTCGGTGGGCGCAGCATCAGGTGAAGACTCGAGCACGTCCAAACACTCGGCCATGAACGAGGTCCACCGGAGCAAAAAAGGCCGGTGGAGGGCCATGGCAGTGTTGGTCGTGAGAAAGTAGCACATGAGCCAAGTACGTCTGGCCTCGATGGTGGTTGGGTCGGGAGGAGGCTGTTTCCTGAATGGATGGTCTCGCCAGTTGGGAGGGCCCTGCTTGGCACGTCGAGATCTCCGCTTGCCCAGACCGAGGTCAATAGCCATGACAGCGGCCATGTGCACGAGCTCGTAGAACTTTAGCTCCTCAAAGTGCTCAGGGGGCCAGTACCAGATGACAGAGATGTTGAGGGCCTGCACGAGTTCGATGCTCTTCTCGCCAATGAGCATGATCTTTTCTGCAAAGACCTGCATGAGTTCTTTGACGATCACCCGTTGCACATTCGGGGTTTCGGATGAAGCCGCGGACATGACGGCGAGGAACAAGATGGGCTTCGTCTTCCGGCACTCGCCTACGGTCATGTCCCTGGGGAAGACCACGCCTGGTAGATGGGGTGCCATCTGGTAGTTGTATCGATCGAAGAGCAGGCTCGCCCTCTCCGAGGTAATGATACCACGGTCGACAATGTCAGAGTATTCGTGACTTCTTGTGTCCATGTTCGAGTGCGCGACAGACGGGGTCGGTGCATCCTCTGCCGGCTCTCTCGTCTCTGTATACTTTCGTTTCTGACCGGCCAGAACCATGGGCGGTGGGTATGCCATAGTGCTCCCATCTGCATACGGCGATTGATTCTGCGAGCGTCCCATGCTCGTCGCATCCCTAGACATGGCGGTGCCCACGGTACTCCAACCTCTGGCGACATTCATGCCACCAGCTGGACCACCGCCGCCGCCGCCACCACCACCATACATGATGCCTCCAGCCCCATCCGGCATGCCCGGGATTGGCTGACCGGCCTGAGCAGCCTTGGTGGCCGTCAGGCTGGCCGTCAGGGCATCAATCTTCTTCTCGAGCTCGGCAACCCTGCTATCCGTCTTCTTCTGGCGCTTCCGGGTGGGCTGGGTGACAATACAGTTCCTGCCAGCCTTGGCACATCTCTTACAGGCGCCATCGGGATTGTTTGGATCTGGTTCGCAGCGGACCTTCAAGCCACGACATGCCTCGCAAGCCCTGGGCTTCTTGGGGTCAGCCCCACCAGCGTCGTTGTCAGCACCACCCGGGGTATCATCGTTGGGGTCGATCGTCGCAGAGGGCGGGGTGTGGAGGTCATGGTGTGGGTTGTTGGGAAACGAGGTCGTCTGTGCCAGGCCCTGGGCTGTTCGCGAGACATCGGGTGACGAGGCGCTGCTGGGCGTCGATGATGATGCTGCGGCTGCTGCTGCGGCGGCGGCGGCTGCGTAGAGGGCGTTGCTGGCGCCGTTCACGTTCCCAGAGGCGCCGGCGCTGCCGCCAAGGCTGTGTGCGGAGCCGGGTCCATTGTTCTCGCCCGCGCGTGCTGTGGAGCTGGAGGGTCGCCTGGCAGAGTTGGAGGCTGAAGAGAGCGGCGCGACGGAGATGGACGAGGAGGAAGAGGAGCCGTCGAGCTGGTGTTGTCGTTGTTGCAAGTGTTGATGATGGCTGGCGGAATTGCTGCGCAGGCGGGGATCTAAGGCAGATGAGTCCATGGCCAAGGTCATCTCGGGTCGCAAGGACCTCTGGGCCGGGATCACCAGCTCATCAAGAAGATCCAATACTCGACGGAGGCGGTGGGCGGATACCCGTTGACCGCGCCGGTATGGTAGCTCGCTGGGTCTCGTGAGAAAATCGAAGGTCACGACTCGACTCGCAGGTCAATCAAGCGTCGGAGGACGGCGCTTGTGGAGGAGAGAAACCGACCAGCACACGGCGATGAGGAGCCCGGTCACCGATCTGCCTTTATGCTGCCATTCCCCACGTCCAGGCTGTCAGCCCCCCACGATGGCTTGATCCATACTTCAATACCTGCCATGCTCCCTTTCCATACGCGATTGGGGAAGTACCTGCCTAGCACCAGCCTCTCGGAACCCTTACCCTAGCCCCCCTCATTCAGTCGGGCACAGGCGGCACAGTCACAATCAGCTGTGCCAACCACCTCCTTCCTGGATTACATGATTACATACTACGTACTACCGTAATAGGTAAGTACAAGACAAACGAGCCCTGGTCTGACAATCTTCCTTCCGGCCGTATAAGACCATCTCTCAATCTCTCATCTCGTCTCGACCAACCTCCCCCTGTCCGCAGCCTTTCTTTCCTGTCCCATCGTGCAACGCCATCGCGATGGCACCATCCTCACCACCTCTCCAACATCACCAACATGAGTGTACCTCGGCACCTGAGTCTTTCTCAGTAACCTTCACTGGTAGCTGTCGGGTTTGTTGGGAGGACAAGGCCCGCAGGGCGGGGGGGGGGGGGGCAATACAACAACGCGTCTCTTGATGAACAGACCGCGTCGTGTGTTGCATGCTCAACTGGGCAGGCTGCCTACACTTAAGTATACGGCGAGTTTTGAGGACCATGAATTTTCTGTTGATGTGATGCATCACTGGCCTGGGCGCAAGGTCTTGTTCTCCCCGTCTGCCATACGTGGACCACCTCCACTCTTGGATGGTGTGTCAAGCTACCTGGAGAGCGTTGCCGACGTGGATTGTTGTTTGTTTCTTCTTTTCTTCTATTTTTTTTTTTCTTTCTTTCTTTTCCATACCGGCAGAGTCGATACGACTTTCCGAATCCCATTACGTCGAATCTCAATCAACTCAGGGCTTGAGGAGCAGCTGCGTCGTCAGCAATAGTTGTGGCGCAGACACAGATGATCCTCATGGAGCCAGCTCCTCTCAACAGTGACCTTTACGAGATGAAATGGTCATACACTACTTTTGCTGAGGTCCCAGTTACAGGGTCCGCCTGCCGGCATATCCAGGCGGCGCACATCAAGGCCACAATCTATCACATCACAAGCCCTTCGGATGTCTTCACCGCCCTTGACATGAACTCAACGCTGTGGGTCAGCGCGACTTGAATAGATTGAACCTCCTTTTCGATGAGTCCAGTCACGGATCTGCCAGTGAGATGCGCTGCGAGCAAGCGAGCCGTGCTTGTATGAGCAGAGGCGGTTCAACCACAGGGTGCGCATAACACCACAAGCCCCTGAAATCGCGTATCCTCGTTGGTGGCCCTACCGGCCGTTCTTGGGGGGGGGGGGGGGGGGTTCTATTTAAACCTCTTTTTGATTATTATCGTTATGTGGTACGCATTGCTGGAGTCAGCTGCGTGGACAATCGTGGGCCCCTGCCACAGAGGCTTGAGGGCCTTCTGCTCACGCTCACGACGCCTCCTGATGGGCTTCATCCTCTCGAGGGTGTGAGAATTCGCACACTCATACTACCACTGATCAGGTACATGGTGAAAATGACCCAGGGGGTTATTACTGGCCCATCCGCCCATGGCCTATCGTTTCGGGTACCACGGCTTTGAGGCATGCCAGAAATGGCATTTGATGTAGTAAAGGGGCAGCCGAGATAACCACACCGGGGGTCATTGCAGGCAGCGACACCAGGTCGGGGTTCAGCTCCCTGGTTGGGCTACCAACCTCATTGGGCTGTATGTATGTGATTCTTTCCGCCGAGGGATAATGGACAGGTCAACCAGTAAGAGCACAAAGGCAGCTCATTGGAGAAGCACGACGGACATTGGTTGAGGCCCCATTGCACGACATTAAACAAGGACACGCTAGTTTCAACGTCCAAAGCGGATCTAGTCCTCGTCTGTACTGTACAACTACACCGTAGGTTTGTACTGAGTTCTGACACGGATGTCCCCGCGGTTGCCACCTGTCCGTACTTAGGATGATGCTGTCGCCTTACGTGGCTGTGGCTGGACCCCAGCTCTTGAGCAGATTCATTGATTCAGATTGTCGGCTCAGATTTGCCGTGGGGATTCTGTTTCGTCTTAAAAAGACCCAGAGAGATCGTCACGACAACTCCTCGAGAACCCACCTGTTTGCTAGGAATTAAAATCCCCTCCATGATCTCTCGGAGGAGCCTAGCGACTTTGAGAAGCCTAGCCTGACGCCCTCGACACGGCTGAGATAGAGATAAAGAGAGCTAGGAAGACGTGTTTAGTCTGCCCTGACGAGAAAGGAGATTTACCATGGTAGGTTTGGAAGGGGAGATGGGTCAAGCTCCACCCGCCCCGCCTCTGAGAACCATGACTTGGTACATATGTAGTAAAGCTTACCATCTCTCCAAGCCTCGGTCCCTTCCAAGCCTTTGTCGAAGGCTGTTTCACATGGTACGAACATACGATGTACACTACGAAGGCTATTTTCTTCAGCCTGTCTGTTTTTCTTCCTCTTGGATTCTCCCCTTGGTCTGCAGTATAACTATAGTGCTATGCAGCTTGGATTTGGTGACCTTTCGCTTACTTAGCTCGTCCATGATGGGCAGGTCCACGTGGGGTATCAGGGTCCAACCCCTGCCGGGGTCTAACCCCACATGGATTTAACCGCCGCAATACGTAGCCTCTCAGCCACAGTTCGAGTCTAGACCCCACGGGCGTCTTGTCATAATCCTTATGACCTACTAGTTTGATATTTCGTTCATCGTCATGTCTATCTTGGATCTTAATCTTTACGCTAGCCACGGGTAAAAAAAGAAGAAAAGGAAGGGCAGGACGAAAAAAAAACTTGTTACGGCACCGAGTCTTGGGAACTCCCTATGGCGTGCGGTGCGCCACTCTCTGCCACGTAATTTCATGTTCCGTGTCCTTTGTCTCTCATTTTCTTTCGGTCGTAAGATAGGCATATTTGTACAGAAAAGGAAAAACTCAAGTATGTGCCGAGAGAGCAATGGCCTTGGAACCCCCCCCCCCTCCCAACCCAAGACTTGCTCAATAGCTCAGGGGAAGAGCAAGAGCATTAAATATTATTTTCCCATTGGATGTCTCTCTCTGCTTTTTGGGGGTCGGGACACACTTGAATTCACTTTCTGTCGCTGAAAAAAATAGGAGAGAAAAAAAGGGGGGGAGGAACTGCGTCACATACCGCCACCGCCAAGGTTGTTGCAGGGGCCGCTTCGAACGGGAGCCTCAAGTGCGAGCCACCACCAAGATCAGCTGTGGATGTTGAGATTATAACGGGACACCAAAGCAAGATTAATGCCCCTGCCCCTGTAGAACTGTAGTACAAACAAGCTCGCACGCTCCTTGATCTTCAGGGTCCGACAGTCAGGGTTCCCGGGGCCCCCTTCCATTATTAGAATTATGTTGAGGAAGGGAGGAGGGAGCAGAGCGTATCCGCGCAAAACAAGCACGTGTTCCAACTACCCGATTCGTATCGAATAAAGTACTTATTTATCCTTCTGTCACTTGCCACTACCATCGTCTCTACACCCTACCTTCTCTACCGTCCTTTTCTCTTCTCCTTCACTGCGGCGGCTGTGTAAAGTCCCATAAGTTTTGTCACTGCCAGTCACTCATTCATTTGTTTGTCTCTGTCTGCTGCAATCGACTTCCTGTTCTGGCCTTAGCTGGGCCCTACCGCCATTCACACTCTACCTGCTCTGTGTCACCTTCTGTACCTCAGCAAACATTTCAAACTTCCTCGCTCGTGTTTTTTTTTTTTCTCTTACACTTTTGGTAAGCCTTTATCGACAGGTTATCATTTTGTGCATTATTTATTTCTGTTTCTGCTCCCTTTTTGTTTTGGGTGCCACAGAACAAAAATCTGTCCATCACGACACTTAGCTTGCTTTTGTCACCTCAAGTTGTACTCACTCTCACACGGCAATATAATATGAGTCTAGGACGGGACCGTCTGCTCTCAGCTCGCGAGGTCGAGGACCTCGTCGCTGATGGCCATCTCATCGTCATCTATGATGGTCTCGCCCTCAATCTTGACAAGTGGCTCGACAAACACCCTGGAGGCCACCTAGCCATCCATCATGTCGTCGGCAAGGACGCCACAGACGAGATCAATGCGTAGGTCTTTTTCCTTATACTTCCCTTTTGCGAGCTTGACGATCCGTCTTTCTCGCACTCATCTGGACAGTACGAAATGACTAACATGCTACAGGTATCATTTTGACAAGACCCTGCGCCTCATGAAAGCTTTCCGCATCGGACGGGTCCAGCTGCCTTGGACGAATCTCGTGCCGCCCATTCAAGGAGGTGCTCACCGCAGGCTCGGCGAGGCGGGTGACGACACCGAGGTGTATGGTGACCTTGTTCTTACGGACTCGACCACGGAGGAGGACAGCACCGAGGTCTCGTCCCTGTTCAGCGTCCAGCGTGACCACTTGAGCTCCGACGAAGATGAGCCCGAAAAGGTCGACAAGGGCCACGTATTGCCATCATCGACATGTCGTCTCAGGTCCAACAACAATGTCACTTCGCCCAGCAAGGTCGTGGTGGACTCGGACGTAGCAAGCCCCCTGCCCACGGAGAGACTTTCTCGCGAGGCATACACGGCCGCCATGGAGCAGAAGGAAATCGCGGATGGTATTAGGAGCTACCCTTCGCTGGACCAGGAGACCCAGGATGCCATCCGCGGAGAATACCGCGCCCTGCATAAGCTCATAAAAGAGCAGGGGATGTACAAGTGCAACTACTCTGAGTACGGCAAGGAGGCCATTCGCTATGCCATGTTGTTGGGTGGTTGTCTGTACTTTCTTCACATCGAGTGGTACATTCCATCAGCGGTCTGCTTAGGCCTGTTTTGGGTACGTACTTGAATCCCTCGATACTGTCCTTCTTGTTGTGGTTGTCATTGCTATCGGACAAAGACCCAGCTAACACATACACTTCCTCCCAACGCAGCAACAAATCATGTTTGTCGCTCACGATGCTGGCCATCGTGGCATCACAGGCGACTTCATCACCGACACGCTCATAGGAGCCTTTGTTGGAGATTTCTGCAATGGCCTGTCGATCGGGTGGTGGAAGAGCTCTCACAATGTTCACCACCTGGTGACAAACATGCCCGAGCATGATCCGGATAATCAGAACGTTCCCCTGTTCGCCACATCGCCCACCTACTTCAAGTCCATCTTCAGCTCGTTCTACAAGTTCCAGTTCGTGTGGGACAAGGTGGCAGACACGCTCGTGCCCTACCAAAAGTACACCTACTACCCCATCATGGCCGTCGCCCGCTTCAACCTCTACTTCCTCTCATGGACGCACCTCCTCTCCCCGCGCGCCTCCCAGCTCGGCTCCGCCTGGTGGACACGGTACCTCGAGATTGTCTTCATGGGCTGCTTCTGGGCCATCTTCGGCTATGGCCTGGTCTGGCGCACGCTGCCCGACTGGCCGACCCGCATCGTCTTCGTCCTCGTCTCGCACGCCGTCACCATGGTGCTCCATGTCCAGATCACCTTGTCCCACTGGGGCATGCCGCACTCCGACCTGGGCCCCACCGAGTCGTTCCCCCAGCGCCAGCTGCGCACCACCATGGACGTCGACTGCCCCGCCTGGCTGGACTTTGTGCACGGCGGGCTCCAGTTCCAGGCCGTGCACCACCTCTTCCCTCGCGTGCCGCGCCATAACCTGCGCAAATGCCAGGCCCTCGTGCGCGACTTTTGCGCCCGGACGGAGATTCAGTACCAGTGCTTCGGCTTCGTGGACGGGAACAAGGTCATGTTGACGCGTCTGCAGGAGGTTGGAAGAATGGTGGATACGTTGGTGCAGTGTTCGGCACACATGGCGGAGACCGGACACTACGAAATAGAGTAATCATAAGAGGTTTTGGACGGGATCTGGTTCAGTTAGTATCAAAAGAAACAATTGGGGGAAAAAAGGAGGGTAAAGAAATTTGGCGTTGCCCAGGAGGGTATTGGCTGTAAAAAAAAATCACTTAGTCAAACTGCAACAAGATACCCATTCTGTGCTTTAAGTTTTTCTCGTCTTCTTCATATTGTACACTTGCTACTTACTTTCTACTATGATATGCGTGCAATTCTTAAACACCCGAGAGCCGAGAGCCCAAGGGATTATCGTGCCACTATGATCAGTGCCGTCGATAATCAAGTCGGTTTTTTTAGCGTTCGGCCTCCTTTGTCCAAGTTGCTCAGCAAAAACACTCTTATGTCGAATCGAGAGAGATCCGTACATCTGAGGTTGGCGAGGACAAAGAGAACAACCGTATCAGTGCTCCTAACTAGTCGATGATGAACACTCTGGAAACGTCGGCTCTGTCTTGTCTGCTGCTTGGCTGTCCTTATAATTATGCTTCGCCGTTTTCACTCTGCTGCGAAGATCCCGTGAAACTCGTAATGGTCAACCCATCATCTGTCTCTTCTTCCTTTTTTTCCCCTCTTCCTTCATCTCTTCACCCTTTCCTGTGCAAGACGTACGCTGGCAGTATAGTTTCGGTGTCTTGTATGAGCAGTGTTCGTTTCTCGCGACACGGTGAGCCAGGCATTTTGGGCTAATTAGGAGGCTTGGTTTTCAAGAACCACTCGGTCGAGAATAATATCAGGCAGGCAATAATGAAGACCAGGTGAATGCAAAGCAGTGAGTAGGCAGAGCCAGATAGTACTGTACAGAAACAAATTGTGATTGGGTGTTGAAGTATCTCTGATTTATCTGTTATTCGATGGCCACGATGCCAGATATTTGACTCCAATGAACAATGGTGTGGCATTGACATGGATGAACAGGTCATGGGTCCTTTTTACGTTTACAGTACGGCCGAATTCCATTCCGGGGTATCTTGGCACGTTCCGCCGTCAACTGCGAAAGCTCAGCCGCGCTGCAGAAAATACTGATGATGCCCCTAATCAAAGCGGGCGAATGGGAGAGCAAAGTATCTTTCCATGTGCCGTCGTGTGGAGCAATACCTTTCCGCCCTCACAACGCTAATCTGCACTTTTGTCGGCATGGCCGGATCTAGTCTTGCGTTCGATACCTGTTGCAGCAGGCTGACCTTCTTGATCTAAGCCTTCTGCCTTGTAGTTGTTGTAGCTAATCAACTCCTCCAATTATCTTCAAGTGCTTGGCTGTGTTCGACGATGAGGGAAAAGCCCGCCGCGGAAGGACGGTGGTCCGTTGAATTAGTTGATTTCATCCGCAAGCGTCAAGAATGACGAGAGAAATAGTATGCCAGAGGTCGATCGAAAATTGATGAGCATATGAACACACCAACCTTGGCGATCGTCGTCTAATGCTTGCTGTACCCGTGGCTAATATCTTTTTGGGGACTTGCTGAGTTGCTACGGAACCTTCTAAGGTTCCTGCTCCACTGACGGGCAATGCATCATCCATTTTGTTTCTTTCTTCCCCTCAAGATCATGTTGAGAAGCATTCAAGTTGGCTCTGGAAAACGATGACCGACAATATCGTGTATGCGATGGCACCGCCACCCGGGGTCTCGCGTGATCCTGAGGCCCCGGGTCATTCAACGAGCCTGATTGCTATTGTCTGTACTTTTCTGCCCCTCGCTGGCGTGGCCATGGTGATTCGACTGTATACACGAGCCAGGATCACTAGACGGGTTGCCATCGACGACTGTATGTGTGTTTACGTGCCCAGGTGGTGGATTCCATCATGGCCGAATGATGCTGATTATTCTCTTTCCTCACAGATGTGATGTTGGTGGCCTTCTGCTTTGGGACTTTCCTAAACATAGAAGCTTTGCTCAGTAAGGCCCTCCCGGTCCACGAATTATGAAAGCAATATTGGATGGTGGCTTACAATGACCGCGCCCACCATCAGTGCTCAATTATGGCCTAGGAAAACATCTCTGGAACGTTCCGCTGGAGCCGGATCTCAATCCAGACTTGGTAATAAGGGACATCCTAGTGTCTGTGGCCTATTTCGTCGCTATGGGCTGTGCAAAGTGTTCCATCTTGTTACTCTACCTGCGCATCTTCACCACGACTGGCATCCAGAGAATCATCTGGGCCGTCCTCGTCTACACGGCCGGCTTCAGCTTTGCCGCCGCGGCCACCACGCTCTTCTCGTGCAACCCCGTGACTGGAGCGTGGATCATGAAGGCCACCGACCATGTCCGCTGCATCAACTCTCCGGCCTTTTATTTCGCCAACGCGGGCCTCAACATCACGTCTGACCTGATGACCGTGGCCATACCAATCCCCAAACTCTTCACGCTCCGGATGCCCTGGAGACGGAAGGTCGCAGCCTCTCTCGCCCTGTCTGTCGGAGGGCTCGTGTGTTTCGTTTCTGTTATTCGGCTGTGGAATCTGTATACATTGCTCACAGACCTTGATCTTACCTGTAGGTTTTCCCAAAATATCCCTCCTCTCCTCCCCTTTACTCTACTATAACGGAGACTGACGATATCATCCTGTCCATTAGACAACATTATCACGACCATCATGTGGTGCTGTCTTGAGATCAACCTTTCCATCATCGGAGGGTGTGCAGCAACGCTGAAACCATTTATCAAGCACGCATTCCCACGCCTTATTGGCGCGAGCAGTGCTTCTGAGGACCGCCGTTCGGGCAGGGGCATCTCCTTGCAAGATCGCCCTTCAAACAAGATAAGTTCAGCTGGGGACAAAGAAGGGACAACAAAAACCACGTTGGAAGGAGTGAGCCAGCACATCACCAACATTCAGGCCATCGAAACCAACAGTGGGGAGCACAGCACAGGAAGAGACCCGAGTTTCAGTGGAACGATTGATCTTGAAGCTGGGCATCAGCCTGAGCTCACAAGTTCGAGGCAGAGGGAAGACTGGATGGGGAGTAGCTGTGGAGGAGAATCTGCATTGCAATGGGAGTCGAAAAGTTCGTCGTTGCCGGGACGAACACCACCGATTTGACACTTGTGAACGGTTTGTGGTCTACAATAATCAATGAATTTGTCAGGGAGGTCCGTCTTGCTCAAAAATACGCGAGGCAGTCATTATACGCATACCATAGATCGGTCGCTTCCCGAGTCTGCGTTTGCATTAATTATTTTCAAGCGGCCTGGATTTAATACCCCCCCCCCCCCCAGATTAGCTCTCTCAACTGCAATACGTAATGAAACCCCTTAATTTCTCTTTTGACCTGCTTTGGAGTCTCACAATACTCCCAATTCCACATACGTTTTGAGTCCAGTAAATGTAGCCAAATCTCGCTTTCGAACATGGTATCGCTGTGCATAAAAGTGATACTGTGAGTCCGACCGTTACGCAGCTATATATTAGGCCACAGCCGTTTCCAGTCAGCTGGGAGTGGTCACTCCTTTTAGCTGTCGCATAGATACACCTTGCGCATCACGATTTACACATCCTTCCATCTTCAGCAACCGTCCAAGCATCACTTCCCACTGCCACATCACAATAGAACAGGCCTTCCGGATCCCACTTCTGCTTGATCGAAAGCAGCTTGTCGTAGTTCGCCCCGAAGAAATCTTGCTTCCAGTCAGGCTGTCTGAAATCGGCCTCATTCATATAGGCGCCCGATCCTGGAGTGGCTTTTTCAATAGTCGGGTCGATCGTGTAAGTGATGAGGTCTTGCTCCGCAAACACGTCCTTCCAGGGGTCTGTGAAGCTGAAAGGCACCTGAATGGCGGCCGACACAATGGCTTCCCGCCAAGCAGGAAGCACGGCATTATCCCCACCAAAGGGGGCGACGTTGGTGCCGACACCGATTAAGGTGGCACCGTCCTCGGCCAGAGCCCGAGAAGCAGCAGAGAACTTGCTGGTGGTAATTTGGGAGCGAGAGATGAGGCGGCCCCCGTATTGGGCAGTTCCAATCTCGATCACGCCGTCGGGGAGCGGTCCCCAGTAATGAATAAAATGCTCTACATAGGTTGCAAATTCGGTGTAGTTGACGCTGTATGTCAGGTTCAGGCTGTCGAGACTGGTGAGCAGTGGCACCATGGCCGTCTCCAGCTCATCTTGCGTCGCGTTGAACGCAGTCAAGGCTGAGATCTCCACGTAGTCAGCCGCGAAGTAATAAATCACCATGGCTCCAAAGTCTACAAGGCCTGGTATGGCATTATGGAATGCATCAATGCCGTTGTAGATGCTTTGGCTGGAATTGCCGTTGGCCGTCTTTTCGACGATCAAGTTTAGTCCACTGGTCACGGCACCCGGATATGTCTTGACTGTCATGGATACGACAACTCCGTAGTTACCTGGGCCTCCTCCACTGCAACGTGTGCGAATGAGCAAGGTGCAATACAATCAACAAGGTACAAGTGAATGAACAGATGGGTCGACTAACCTCAGAGCCCAGTAGAGGTCGGTATTATTCGTCTTCGAGGCGGTGACCAACTCTCCTGAGGCGGTAACTACTTCGAACGCGAGAGTCTGGTCGGCTCCCAGCCCAAATTTGGTGCTGAGTGCTGAGTGGCCACCGCCTTGGGTATAACCACCAACAATTCCCACAGTTGGACACTCTCCTGTGACTCCCACGCGACCAAGAGCTGCTGCGGCTTCGACAAGCTCGAATCCCTGGACGCCAGCACCCAACTTGAGCGCAGTACCTGTGAAGTCTGTGTCGTTCCACTGGAGAGGCGTAATGTCCTTTAGATAATGTGTCCAAACAGCCAGCGACCCGGCACCAGTGGAGCGGCCAAGGTAGTCATGGCCGGTGTTCCTGATAATGAAGCGAATGTTCTGATCCCGGGCAAATTTGATTGCAGCAATAATGTCATCAGGGCCAGTGGCATTGACGGCGTAGCGAACATAGTTTCCAAGCTCGCAAGGACGCTCGCGAGGAGTCCAAGGATCACAGCTCTGGTTGGCAAAGAACGGTGCCATGACTGAGGAACTCGAGTTCATGCTGCGCGGTGTACACGAAGTCAACACGTCAGCGCCAACGATATCTTCTTTCCAGCAGCCTATCTATTCATTCCACGTACTGAATACCCGGTAAGAGCCATTGGCTCTGGAGATATGCGCATTCCTCCTCGTCATAGTAAGGATCATGACAAGGCGAGCCAAGCGGAATCGTGGCCACCAGCCGACCGCCGACTGTGGAATTGAGAGACGACCATTGGGTTTCAGAAGGCCAGCAGCTGTCTCCTGGGTAGCATTTGCAGATGGCATTGAAACCGCCTCGCAACTGTATAGGTGTCTGCCCGCCGGAAAACGCCGAGGCAGCTGAGCCGCTCACCAGCATTGAAACCAAAGTAACGAGCCACCCCATATTGATTCTCGGATCTTCGTTCTGCTGTGGTGGGGGACGGGATCCGATAGGCTTTCAATCTACAGGCTAAGGCGTTGGTGTCACCACCCTTTTGGAAGAAGTAAAGTTGAAGTTTGACGTGGTCAATGTGGTCTGGTTCGAGAACAAATGAAATGAAGTGGCGAGACAAAATGTATGTATCACTTGGGTGGCGTTCTGTAACCGCGTTAAACCCAGCCTGCTTTCAGTCGACAGCTCAATCAACCGACATAATCTATGCCTGCAATCAATCTTGAATGTGGAAGTCAAGGGCTAGACTTTATGAGAACAGCAGCTGAGCCGGGGAACCAGGTAACAGAAGCCGTTGAATCCTCCGAAGCACACTTAATATTCCTGCACATTATTTAAGCTGTGCTACAGCAAACGGAGATGATAAATTCCTAATGACTTGACAATCTACTTGATTCAAGTAATTACAACACTTGCCGTCAATATCCAAACGGCAACGCATCCGTTACCCTCTCTCCTCCAACTATCATCAACAGCCCTCAGAATGGCACGTCTCACGGGTCAACCGGAATGATTTTTCTCCGCGCAGCAAGTTTTCGTCTTGCGCAAGGGGAAAAAATGATTTAATGACAGGTAAATCCGCACCCCAGCAGTCATGTCGCTTTCGTCGCACTCGCGATTCGCGAATAACTACCTCTTCTGAGTCCCTTCTTACAATTCTTCCCGAAAGTTGACGTAATCGGCTTGGCCTGCGGCACTCGAAAGCCAGTCTTTTCGGAAGAGATGCTGACATTGGTGGGGACCACGGCATATCAATGAAACCCTTTTTCGGTCTCTCGCTGTGAACAAGAAAGAAAAAGCAAATCCCGACCAGCAAGATCCTCATGAGCCAGACTGTGAGAACGCAGCTCAGCTGATCTTCCTGACTTGAACCTTTGAAGTCACTTGCAGATCTCTGCTGAGTGACTGATGGTCTTGGGGGTCTAGTACATGTGTACTTTGCTTTTTTTTTCCCTGGTACGTGGGGTCTAATATCGGAATCGTAGTCAGGTCATGGTTGCGTATCGGGGTTTGAGATACATTAGCACGAAGAAATTGATGCATGTGGAAGCGCAAGCGTCACATCTGAGAGGCATCGATGGATGGCATGTCATCGACTGTATCTCCTGTGCCAGATCGACTTCAGCGCAAACTCATTTGCTCTCCCGATGTACATATTCGGACGACCTGTGCTCAGAGAAATCTTCTGAGGCATATCGAGGAGAAAATGAGTGCAAGATACTTGCTTGATTATGCAGGATGGGAGCTGCATAGAGGAATTTTGTTTACTTGAGCAGATATGATCCACAGTTCGCGCACAGTGAGCAATCTCATCTTTCCGATCGGTAAAAGACCCCGTGTGCAGCCATTAATGATTCACGGGTCTGTCCAGATGCCGTGTTATCCACGGCGCACTGGAGATCCCCCTTATTCTTTATATGAGCGCCACAAACGCCTTATAACATAAAAGCTCGCAAGGGCCCATGTGTTATTTGTATCATATAAACGCCTTTGTATTACCTTTGCAAGACAACCCTCCCAGAATTCAAGCCCCAGCGTCTCTGTCCACCATTGATTTGACAGTTCATACTGGAAGGGTTAGAAGTCGAGGATCGACAAATGCTACGTTGAGAGAGCTGGCCTGGCATTGCCCATATGGACCAGGGAGCTTTGGAAAGCGTGACATCAGATACGACCTCTCCTCGCTCTGCAAGGACCAAATTTAATACAATGTGATTGCGCACAGAAGGAAACAAATGTGTCTGTATTTCTTTTGGGGGAGGGAGGAGGAGGGGCGTAAGCTTGAGATTATGGTGTGATTACGTTGTGTTGTGATATTTCACTTCATGGTGGTCAGGACAGATACAGAAAGATCCTGACAGTATACCTCGGTCAGTGCTCTAGACATTATTTCCAAGTTTTCTTTTCCTCTCTTGCGACTCAAATCACTGTTATTTTGTGTCCATAATAAGAATTTGCGGCGTTGGCTTTCTTTCTCGAGATTCTATGCCTCGTAACTAACTTTTCGCTTTACTTTCAACTCGCACTCTTCTTCCCCACTACCGATCTGCGATACACAGCATGGGCTGGGTTTTCAACGCCCCTGGTGACACGTCGACATGGGGTCCTCAAATTGTTGCCATTGCCACGACATTCACGGGCTTCTCCCTCATCATTGTTTGCATGCGAATATATGTCAGGGCGCACTTGATACACGCTATGGGGCTAGGTAACCTATTTCATATTCCTTTCCCGTTCAAACATAGCTTAGCTGATTCTTGTGTTCCTCCTTTAGACGACTGGGCTATAATCTTTGGCTGGGTAAGGGCTCCTTCTAGGTATCTGCAAGGAAACCATGGTTTGTCTAACATACCAGCCAAACAGTTCGGAATCTGTGGCTACTCGATATGCACAATTATCCGTGAGTGCTATTGCTCTCTTTTGTGCATACTAATATCTGAAAATGTTGACCGCGTGCCAGAAACGAGATGGGGACTCGGAGTCAATCATATCGATGATATGCCTATCCAGGACATGAAGACTTTTTTATTAGTAAGTATTCCATCAACCGGCGAGATGGAGAACCTCGGTCGGAGAGATCCTCCGATAATTATATATTAACTTCAATTACTAGATAGAATACATCGGCTCACCACTGTACGACAATGATCTTTCGAACTTTCAAGCACATCATCATAGTGCTTGGCGCTGATCAAGGCATATTCTAGTTACGTCTGTTGCCTCTTTGGCTTCAAATTCAGCCTCTTGCTGTCCTACCTACGATTTATACCCCGTGGAGTGTGGAGATTCGCCACCATCGGGATGGCCATTGCTGTCACTTTGGCGCATATAGCATTCCTGTGTTGCTTTCTCTTCGGATGTAGTCCTGTGAGTAGTTGAATCGGTGGGCTCTTAGGTCATGAGTGGCACAAATGAAAAGAGAAAAGAAGAATAAAGAAAGAAAGAGACATTAATACGTTGCCAGATTGCCAAATTTTGGGATGCCAACATCACCTGGGGCCATTGTCTTGGCCTCCCCTTCTACACTGGCTTCTCTGCCCTGACGATTACTTTCGACTTCCTCATGTATGTTGTGGACCGTTTCGATTTCCAGATGCCCAAGTGTATGGATCCAGAGACCATATTCACTGATATGATTACCAAAACAGCATGCTGCTACCATTTCCTACGCTCCTCCGAACCAAAATCCGAACCCGCAAGAAGGTCGTCCTCTGCTGTCTCTTCACCCTTGGCGTGTTCATTTCCGCCGTGCAGATCGTCCGGTTCAGCTACCTCAGCCAGCTCGTTAACCTCCTCGACTCGGCCAACCCCATCGTCTGGTCCATCGTCGAGAGTAACCTGGGCATCGTCACGGCGAGCATCCCCACGCTGGCGCCGCTGGTTCGGTACTTTTCAGAGAAGTCCCGAGTCGGTGAATACTCTGGAGAGGGAGCGTCTGGCGGCAGGTCAGGGTCGGAAGGAGGAAGAAGAGGAGGGGGAAACAGGCCGTTGGCACATGAGCTCAACTCGTTCCACAGGGGGCTCAGAGGCCATGGTTCGGCGGTCGACAGGAATGTTGTGATTACAGGTATTCATGACGACGATAGTACTGAGCGCATCTATGACCCATCGCAGGGTGGCATCATGAAGCGGACAGATGTGCTTGTGAGCTCATCGCAGGGGCGGACAAGCGAGCAGAGCGTGCCAATGGATGAGAATACGCTGTGAGCCATGCTATATTAACTAATAATGATACATAAACGTCTGGAGAGGCCTTAGGTTTTTGGGGAAGACATCGGGTTCTTGTTGGGTTCTGATCATCAAAGAAGAGCATCAAGCGTCTTCGCCGCCTGATGAATAATAATTAAAGAGCAGACAAGCAAGCTTTGAATCCTATAATGTTCTACTTACCTATTATATATCTAAACAAGGACCAGCATACATGTGACTACAAGGCCCCATGGGCACCAACGCAACATACAAGCTCGTGGTGCTCAGCGTAGTGTAATTCAGCTCCAAGGCATTTGCCCAGGTCTTGGGTAAGAGAGTACAGGATACTACCGGCACACAGTTGGCATTGCACAGTGAATAACCTCCAGCCCCAGCGTAGTCATCCAATATATCAAAACAGACTTTCGTCTTACGAGTGGCAGACTTCCTCCGAAGAGCATCCATCATGGACAGCACGCCACAATAACCCACCTCCATTTGTTAATATGCGAGCAGTGGCTATCCAATTATTACGTCTCCTTTGTCTTGTGAGAATTGTGCATGACGAAGAGCAGTTCCGATTCGTGTTGAAAGGAAATGAGAGGGAGAGAGTGCGCGCGCACGAAGAGCCTAGAATATCTGAACCGGATGAAGTAGGAAGCTTCTTAGAGACCAGCTGAGCCTATTTGCTGTGATCTCTGCTCGCCTCGAAGTGTGACTTACCACTGAAATCTTAACATGCCTCGTTTCCCCCCTGAGAAAGTTAGACAGAGAAGCTATGTTTTCTGCAATCTATTTGGCTAAATGATAGTCACCTCGAAGCAAGCGTCAGATAGCCTTACGATCTCCCTCACAGCAAGGGAACGCAGCATCTCCTCAACCACCACGCCAGGACTGCTGCGTTGTGGTCTTCATTTAACGACTCATTTAAGGACGATACACTTTGCACAGTAGGACCGAGGAAATTCCCGTTGCTTGAAATTTGCAGGGCACTTGTCATGTCTGTATGAGCACCCTGGTAACACGATCTTTCGAGCGACGCGTGCATTTGCCACCCTCAGACCCATCCAGCCTCCCCTTGTTGTTGTTCCATTAGCCACGAATCTGCCTTTGGTGGGCTGCCGCGGGTGGACAGCAAAAAGAGTTCTCCTAACCACCACGAGACTGAGGCCACACTTCGCCATCAGAGATGACCAGCTCCCAGTTTTCGAGGCCTGTATAAGCCTCTATGAGTCCAACATCGACCGACTCTTCTCCGGCCGCCAGCAGCTGACCATCTGCAGCACATGCAAGACTCGTGCAACCTCCTTGTGGCACAATAATATAGCGAGGCCCGCCATTGCAAGACACCAGGTGACCTTGCGCATGACTATCCAATCATTTAATCTTGGACAAGGTTGACTCGATCACGGCTGGTCTGAGACGGGGCAATAAAAAGGGTTGGAATAGTCCTGCTGGCCATGGCCACAGCCTGCCACGTACACAAGATCCCGGCGTCGATCACTTTCTTGCCTGAGTCCTTTTCCCAGCCACTTTCTTTTTGTTCTTGTTCAGAAAGTTTGGTTCGAGTCACTTGACAGCTGGCAAGTCCCGAAGAAAAACAACTTCGTGGGCAGGTTAGCGGGTGACTCGACTGTACATGCGACAGACACAAAGTGTAAGCAGCAGAATTGGTTGGTTGCTCAAGCCACTTGGCTGACCAACAGGAGAGCAAAGACCAGGCTGGCCATCATCACAAGCCGAGACAATGTCTGACTTTGGAAACCTTTGAACAATTTTTCTCTTCCTTATTTTCTTTGTTTGGGTCGCCTCCTCCACTCAAAGTCTGCCAATTAATTGCCAGCCAAACGTTGCACGGCACATACCATAAAAACAACTGCTGCGCGTTGCTCACGCCGCCGACTTGTGCTGTCTTGGCTCACGAACGACCCCCCCCTCCCCTTTTGGCCCCCCAATTCTGAAACACAAGTCTCAAACCGCCATACCATCACACCCCCTCTCCACCACACCCCTCCTCTCGCTGACCTTTATGCCGCTTTTTTGTCTCTGGCTTTCAAGTTGAAAACCCTGTTTCGAATTGGACATGCGTTTTTTCCCACCGGTTCGCTCGCCCCGCGGCTGTGGGGCTTGGCTTTTGACCTTGGCTTTTGACCTTGGCTTTGACCTTGGCTTTGATCTTGACCGCCAAGTCGGGGAGCGCGCCCCAGAACAAAGTGACAGCTGCAAGAGATAGGACCCTACCCGAGAGCTTGTTGGCTCGGATCTTCTTTGCTTGGCTCTCCTTACATAGTAACTGTAACCGGAGCAGCAATGCTTGGGGGTGTGCTCACGCGACACCAGGAACAAAAGCTATCCATCCATACGATTTGGGATGAGGCCCGCCCCCGTCTATGACGCCCATGAAGAAGAAAAAGAAGTTGTGCGCATTGATATGTATGTACAGTTGCCAGGGGTTTTGTTGGGATGGAAGGCCAGCTGAGTTTTTGGAGATCTTGGATCCGCGTCTCGGCTTTGCTGCGATCTGATTTGAGATGAGGCGGAGAAATATGTGCAGACACAAGAAAACGAATGAGTAAGACTGTCACCGCCACTCGGCACCGGAACGCTGGTGTATGAAGCTGGAATGGGAGGGCCCGAAACCTCCCCCCCCCCCCCCTCTCGTTTTGCTGAGGGCTTCATGCACACACGCCAACATCTACAACATACCAGACGCCAGATAGGCTGAGTGGTTGGCCTCCTCCTCCTCCCCTCCTCTTCCTACTTCTCTTCATCCCAACGTTCAGCATACTGCGGTAACATGACAAATCCGGGACTGCAGGTGCTCTGGTCCCGAACGGGTCGACACTTGCCCGACCAACTTTGACTGGACGAGAATTGTCCAGGGCATCAAACCAATGCATAAGCCCCCTCCATATCTAACGATGATCGCCGTCCAGGGGATCCAGTGATGCCAATTTTGTTTCTCACGACAAGGGGGGGGGGCCAAAAGGGTAAACCATTGTAGCATTGATTCTTCACAGCAACGTCCAATCCTTATCCTCGAACGAGAGAATCTGGCATGCATGGCCCCCGCGCCGTCCGGCCGCACCCTGTGCTGTTGTGCAAGGGGGGGCAACCGGAACGAAAGACCTTCTGGATCCGCGCGTCATGGACCTGCAAGACACACACACACATACAGACACAACTGTCTCAACGAATGATAGCAACACTCCTAGGGTTCACACGTTGGAGCGCGTCAAGTAAAGTGCTGATGGATCCGTGGCGGTTCGCCGATCCGGCGGGCAGGGAGAGACAAGAAATAAGCAGGGACAAAAATAAAATCCCCATGCTCGAACGTTATTTTCTTTTGGTTTCAAAGAAATCTGAGTACGCAAGGCCCTTCGGAGTCTCCGGTCCGGAGGACTTGCAACACATGCAGGACGGGTCAGCGGCCGTTGTTGTTCAGTTGATTTGAAAACGCCGCGAGCAGCGGCCCACTTGAGCCCCGGCCCCTGACCTCGGAGTGAATAGCCGGTGCTTGAGTGATGAGCACTCAGTAGTAGCAGTAGGAAATCAACAACGTAGGAAAAAGATTACTTTTGTGCAGAGAGAGCGACCACGCTTTTTGCTTTGGAAAAGGGGGTGATGATTTGAACGTGGCGCGGACGATGCTGATCGACGCTGACCATGGCGTCTCTGCCAAGATGTCCCTGGAGGCTACTATGTATAAAACAAACAGTCTGAAGCAGCAAGGGTTTCCGTTGGTGGAGCGTAGTAGAAAAAGAAGAAGAAGAAAGAAAGAAAGAAAGGGCGAATAAGAATAGAACAACAAGGGAAAACGTCCACGCGAAGATCAGATGGTGATCCGCATAACAGTTGCAGCCTCGGAGCAGCGAGAACGTCTGAACAATTGGCTTGTAGACCAGCGCGTTGTATCAAAACCACCACAGGCTTGCCGGCCCCGCCCCAGCGGAACACACTGCTTGTTTTGGTCACTCGAGACCTGCAAAAGGCCAGCGCCAGCCTATCAAGAGAGAGGAGAGGAGCGGGAGAGCCTGGATCGGCGAGAAAGTCTGGGGTTCCGAGGTGGTTTCATCTCATTCGGTAGACTACCTCGAAACATGGAGATGGGCGGCCCTCTCCCTCTGTTCCCGCCTTGGTATCAACAGGGGACTAAAATAGGAAGCATGGGAAGTTGCAGAAAAAAACTCCCTGTTTACACTCGATTCAAGAGAGAGAGAAGGGGGGGGGGGAGGAGGAGAAGTGTGTATATTTGTGTGTTTGCTGGGCGGAACTGATGCGACCACGGTGAACTTTCTTGAAGTACTGTACGACAGCCTGCATGTGACTGGGAGTAGGCACAGGGCAGTATCTACCGTGCTTACTTCTTGGACGACAACATTCTAGCAGGGCTTGGATTTGACGGGACAAGAGGCATAATAAAGATTGAAACGATCAGGAACATACTATAGGAGTGTATGCTTGAGCAGCTGACGAATAGAGAGAAAACATGAAAGGCATTACTACATAAGTCATATCACTTGCACGAGATGATACTTGGTAGGCCCTACAGGATTCGCTCCTCTGGCGTCTGACCCGCTTGAGAGAGGACGCGACCCCCTCCCCCTCCCCCCTCCCTCCCAAAAAAACAAACAAATATTGCAATGTACTATTATATCCTCGTCAATAACGGCAGGTGCTTGAGACTTGGTTTCATGAGATAATTACTGGGTATGGCAAAAACAAGTCAGTCCACTGCGTGCCATGCATCTCGTCACACCGCCCCTTGTTTCCGAGGTTGATGTGAATCTGGAGAAAAGGTGATATGAAGACAGGCACGGGAGAGGCATTATTGGTCAGGGTGCAGTTGAGCTATCATGGCACACCAAAGCGGCTGGTGGTGGTGGCAATGTGTGAAGGGAAGGTGAGCCCTTGCTCGCTGGCGAGCCTTGGGAGCCAACCGGATGGCCGTCGTGGATGGGTGCGTGCCGTACCGGGGTCGGTGGTCACTTGGGCAATCACGGAGAATTATTCCCTCT